GGGGGGGGGAAGAGAGGAAATGAAAGAAAGAGAGAAGGAGAGATTATGTTAAAATCCTCTTAGAAAGCTGGATACACCTAGACATGCTCTGCAGCGTCCCAGAAGGTCTGTAGAATATCAAGGACACTCTTCACTCTTTCTCTGCTTCCATTTGCTACTTCAGGGTTAACTTTCCCCCCTATCATTGCTTCTGCTGTTCTACTAAATACCTATTCTGCTCAAGCTACGCTGTGCCCTCACAGCAGTAAATGATGCAGGCTTTTTCTACATGCCAAGGGTAACACTCAACTCCCCTAAAAATAAGACAACTTGAAGAGAAGCATTTGGTTCAAGCAAATCGCCATGGCTCCCTCTACAGTCAATGACAGAAAAAAAATAAACGCATATGCACTTGAAGGTGAAGAATAACAGGGATCTACCAGATCAGATATCTAGAAATAGTAAAATTCAGCCTCATTAGATCCCTAATTAGCTAACTCACCTAGCCCAGCTGCCCCATTTTTACACAGGCTACTAACTGCTAGGAGGGTAAAATCTAGTTTAATGAATCCCATCATGTTCAACAGGGAAAGGTGTCATTGATAAAGAGAGTGAAAGAAAAAACTGGTTTGCCCAAGATCTGGACTCCTTTGCCACACATTACGGTGTGATGTTGGATGTGCTTTTACATTGTGATCTTAACCAAAGAGGAACTATGAATGATCAGCATTTATCAAACTTGGCAATTTGTTTAGGAGCATCAGCACAGGCTGCAGAGAACAGGTAAGTAAGGAAGTTTGTATTTATAATCTTGGCATGTCTATCAGATTTTCAGAACTGTGTGTCTAAATCTGTGTGGCTAGACCCATGGAGAGTCATTTAAAGAGGCACACTATGCTAGAACTGACAAGGAAACAACTGTTACTGACCTTGAGAAACAGATGATTTGTGAAAATAAAGCAATTTATGCAGATGTTCAATTATAGATTAAGCAGTATAACTTTTAAGAAATGAGTTTGAAATATCCCTGTTCTTACCCTTACTATGGTAAGAATCTGGGCTTTTCAGATTCAAGCCATACAAGAATGAAGGCTACTATTAGAAGCAGCAATTTAGCACTGCTCTTGTGTAACTACATGACAATGGCGGAAGGGCACTCAGCTCTACTAGATATTATTAGTTGCATTAGTTACTGCTTTTAGTATACAAGTCAGACTTTCTCAGATCTGCTAGCAAGGAGACTTTTTTTTTTTCCTCAGACCATCATGTGCAAGCTATTACAGTTCAAAGGAAAGGCTCATCGGGATGAAGAGGTTTCTCAAATATCTGTGGTCAAGTTAATGAGACATTTACCATTCTTTACAAGACAAATAGCTTTTAATTTGCTTAAGAATATTCAGGTGCAGTTTTCCTTAAGGTTCTTTTAATGAAAGCTCCCTTTAAAGAAAACACCCTACCCATTTCAATTCCTTTTGAGAGGGGTGACCCCACTGCCCCTCACAGGCAGCGCTGACTGAGACAGTGACTTGTGACGGGGCTGAGGAAGGGCAGGTCAAAAGGACTTATCTGTGCTTCGCCTCGGTGAGAAAGAACGGTGGCTGAGTGTCGGGCCTTCATCCCCCTCAGACGAAGCCCCTCTGCCAAATCTACCACTGAATCATGCTAAGGGACACGGATTAGTGCTGGACTTGGCCGTGCTGGATTAACGGTTAGGGCTCACGATCTTAAAGGTCTTTCCCAACCAAAGCGATTCCATGATTCTCAGGGGTCTGGATGGTGAAACTTCGCACCCAAGAAGCCCGGCGAGGCCTCCACGGTTCCGCCCGCCCC